TCCTAGCAATCAATTATTTATAACAAAAAAAAGAGGATGAGAATTTAGAAAGGAAATAATTTTAGTTTCCTTAAGGATTAAGAGTCAAAGCATTAGAAAGGGCAAGGTCATAGGTTTGCATATTCGTGCAACCAAACAAAATCATATTGCATAATTCAATCCTCCCAAAAAAATCCTAGCCCCTTTCTCCCAAAAAAATACTCTTAGAGCCTTTTCCACTTTGAGGGGGGAGGAAGCTATTGTTCTTCCCCCCTCTCCCCTCTTCTCTTCCGCCTTTCACCTCTTTCCCCATTTTCAGAGACAAAGGGTTTTCCCTATTTGTCTTAGTTTTGTTATGATTTTTATCCATCCATTATAGGCTGCTGCGGCTCAGCGTCGGATCTTCACTTACATTTCGGAGTCGGATCTCCACTACCATCTTTTTTGCAATTTCTTTACGTTTGGAATAAGTTGCAGAGACTCCTTGAGTTCTCTGTGTAGTTTTCACATCTCCTTTTGTGAGAGTTTTTCATCTCTCCTTTGTGAGAGCTTTTCATCTCTCTTTTATGGGAGTTTTATTTGTATTGTTATGGCTTGATTTTTTCAAGCTTTATCTATTTTTTATTATTCTAAGTTTGCAATCTTAGTTGGGATTCCTATGCCAGAGTTTCTTCGATCCTACTTGATCGTTAGTGGAGACGCACTAGATTGCCTTGATTTTGATATTAGACCACTCCGTTATTGTAATGGCTATTTTGTGGCTAGTTTGTATTAGCCATTTATGGCTAATGACTTTTTTGGCTGAATTATGAATGCAATCATAGAATTTCTTAAAAAAAATAAAAACAAATACAAAATCATATTGCATAATGATGACGCAGGATTTATTTATATATGATATTAATTAGAGGGGCCATATATACTTAATGCATGGTCCTGAATTCTATAAAAACTTACTTGAAATAACATTATTTTGATATCATCAACCAATAACATAATGACACGTGAAAAAACGTTATGAGCCGGGACCGTTGTAGAAAGTATTTCTCCTAAAATCTTAATCATATTGCATTACAAGACGTTTCATTTTTCTTTGCTGTACCTTCTTCTTCTGTTGTTTGTTGAAAGAAAAAGGGGAGGGAAGTGCGTGTTTGAGATTGAAATTATGAACTGGGGATGGAAATTGGGGTTGGGGGTGTTTGATTTGAAAATGACAGATGGAGGTGTCTATCTATTTATTGTTATTATTAGTTAGACACGGCACTGCTTCATCTGATGTGGTAAGCTTTTGCATGCCTTTCACAATTATATCGTAATCATATCATTCATGCATCAACAACCACCGCCTCACTCTTTTTTGCTTTTTTATTCGTATTTTCCTATTTGGTTAAAGTATTAAATGGGCAAGAACATCACAGTACGAATCACAAATGAGCCCAACTTAAATTGACTGAATCGCCCCAGCCCGTTTTTTTTTAATTTTGTTTTTGTTTACCTTTAAAGGTGGTCCAACAAGGCGCTCCAAATTTAAAAAGTCTGTTGGGTCTGTTCAAAGACCGTAGAAAAAAAACCCAAAAAAGGGACTTGGGAAATCTTGGGTTCGAATTTTGATCATATTTATTAATGAATACATCAATCATATGTATTGTTTACATAATTTGACATCATTCAGTTAGTTTAAAGAACGAGATTTGTAATAGGCTTGTAACTTAAGTGGTTAAGATCATTTACACTTGCACTTTAGGTCCTAGGTTCGATTTCTATAGCCGAAAAGATGCAACTGATGTACGCGCAAAGTCCAATGGAAGGAAAAAGAGATATTGTGCGGCCCATGGTTGAAACTCGGATTGAATCTAGAGACTAATAATGCAAAGGACTGAAAAATCCGCACACACTATGGATTGAGGAAACTCCAAGAATCTTATTAGGATTTCTAACTCTATTATTGAAGGATAGCTTAAATTGATTAACATGAGATTGCTAATTTGCTAGGTTTCGCAAGATCGACTTAAAAATCTGATCACAATATATGGTGATCCTGGATTCGTGCTGATCTCTACATGGGGCGATGGAATCAAATCTATATGTGTAATATCTGGTGATTGATTTTTGAAATTGGACGTTTTACCAAACAGACACCCTCACATTGACATTGTTATTGGGTCAGTCCATGGCGACCTTTCCATTTCTCTGTCTACCAAATGCAACCTTTTAATCGTGACCCTTCCTCGTGATTGTTTGTCTCTGTCTTCGCCAACCTTCAAGTTGCATGTTGCTTCACCAGTTCTATGGAGATGAGGGTTGTCTTTTTGGTCAGGCACACTCGTATTAACTAATACCCTTTTGTTAATTGACTAGCTTCTTAACTTAACACTTATAAAGCTAACGGGGTTTAGTCCGATGAAGTGATTTCATATTCGAAACCAATAAGACCTTGGCAAGATGTGTGATAAAACCTACTCCCTTTCCTAACTTTGGTATAGATTTACTGTGTCGGCTCATACCTGTGTGATACATTTGTTTGTTAATTAGGTCAATGGTTAATGCCATGCAACGTAGGGAAAAAGGCCAAAAAAAAAAGATATAATAATGTGGGCACATGAAAGTTCCATACCTTATGTTATATAGAAAATTAATAATATAAATGCTCGTTCAATTTCAGATACGGTGGGGATATTTAATAATATTATCATATAGTATATTGACTGACGTGTACAGCAATGTCCAGGGTGTAGCTCATCACATGGGACTCTCTTTCTAGTAGGGCACCATTCAATATAACACACATGTGACATGTGACTCTGTCAAACGCCCAAGAACAATCGTTTTGAGGTTCATATTATTTTCCATCTGCCATATCGTCTCTACTACTGCTTGAGATTTTCGGTTTGGGTTTGTATTTTCTTAGCTGCTACAAATGCACATTCTTATCCAACCCACATAAATTGCAAGCCCCATCCCCATTTTGTAGTTTTTCATAATTAGTTTATCAATATATACAATTAGTCTCTCTGCACGCTCTATACGGGATTTACAAAAATGTTATTTTTATTTTGTGCACCAGCTAGTAAAAAATACTTGGAGAAGAGACAAACATTAACATAAGCATTTATGGGTAGCTTCCCACACGGGGGAAAATAACTGTTTTAACTGATGCCTTCAACTTGAGGACTGCGGGTTGTTTTAAACTCTGGTGAGCAACTGCTTCTGCAGGCCAGAAAAAAGGTTGACCCAAGAAAAGAAAAGAGAAAAAAACCTTGTACCCAGAGAGAGGTCAGGCCTGCAGATGTTTTGGCTCACATGGCCACTAAGTTCCCACCAGAAACCTTACAAATGAGACCTCCCTCTGCAATATATTTAACCATACTATACCTCGATTGTGTTTTTTATAAGCTACAATTTCAAGGATCCATTAGGTCACATACATAAAAGAATAAATTATATTCCCGTTTTCCCTTTGATTTGAATCGAACATATTTTTTATTCATTAATTAGCAGCTAATAGATGATGCTGTGCAGCATGTTTCCTTAATATATATTATATGTAGTTCCCTACCCTTTCTTAAAATTAATTTCTTCCAATTCAACCCAACAAGAAATCACCTGTATTAATTTCATGTATCCACCCTTTTGTTTATTAGCACAAACTTGAATACAAAGGGCCGACTAAGTGCCTTTCCCAATTAGCTTAATCTACATTGCATCACTGATCTCGCTCGTTTACATTATAAGAGTTAACGATCAACATGATTTACAAATTACATGGTTATACAAGATCCATCATAGTTCTCTTTGACTCTAGTCTACCCTCAAATTTTGCATGCATGAAATGAAAAGCAGGTAAAATAATGACGTATTCCATCATCACTTGAGTAAAATACTGCAGGATAGAAGTCTCTGAAACCCAAAAGTTGCGTTTCGTAATTGTGGAATATCCTGGAATAATATAAATCAGATGGTCGCAGCCTCCTATGCGGTCCAAGCATAACGCATTAACGTGCGCGTGCTTTGACTTATATCATTTTTTTAACTCTGCAATTTTCGCCTTGATTTATACGCATCCTTCCGACCTTCCCAGTACGTGCATTGATAACGACTCCGGAAACTGGAATTTGGATATTATTGAAGGTTTTACATCCTTACAAAAACTACAATAGTACAAACAAAACAAAGCAATTATGATATCGAATATAGGTAAATATTCTCTAGTGACAGGTAAATATTATTCGGAGAGGATCATGCACAACCCGATAAATGACTAAAATTCCCTAAGATTTAATCATGAAAATGAAATAAGATTTTCGAGGATGGGAAAATATGTTTCCCATAGTATGAACATCTGGACTTTGTTGGTGTTTTGGGTTGTTTATTTTTCTGATGTTTACATTACAACTAATTGACTAATTAATTAGTTAAACAACCAAGCAGGCAGCGGTGCACATATTTCAACCAAAAGTCCAAGTTTAATTAGACAAGCTACTAGATCTGACTTAGTGGCAGCAGCACAACATCACAGAGGAGAGGGCTAATGAGTAATAAACCAGTCTTAGTTAAAACCCAAAAAGAGAAACCGAAACTTCTCCGCAAGTGGTGCTCAAGGTTAGAAGACAGGTACATCTGCCATCTGGCTGTAACCTGGTTGTCACTTTAAAATTCTTGATCAGTAACCAGACAACCCAAGATTGATGATGCATGTCAAGACCTGATTGTTCCTCATAATTATTTGAATGGATCAAGATTTGGATGCCCATTTACTTTGACCAGGCTTCATTTACTGAAACTGATCATTAGCTAATTAGGAAATATATTATTATGAAGCTGGCCCTGGACCTTCCAATTCTTACCACAGAGCAGTACCCAAAAAAAGGAATTTATATTTCTTCTCCTCCTTCATTAATTGTTCACAGCAGCACAGAAGAGTGAGTTCACTCTCTCTCTCTCTCTCTCTCTCTCTCTCTCTCTCTCTATAAAACCCTCCCTGTCTTTACATTCCACACCCTCAAAAAACCCAGATCTCTCTCTCTCTCTCTCTCTCTCTCTCTCTCAATAAAACCCTGCCTGTCTTTACATTCCAAACCTTCAAAGAACCCAGATTTCAGTGGAAAGTGCGTCAAAGTATACTACTTTCATGGGTTCTCTGTGTTGTTTTCTCTTCTAGTATGCTGTACAAGTCTCTTATCTAATACCCTGATCACGCTTTAGCATTTGCTTCCTCTGTTTCCTGTGGAATTGAATTTCCAAGAAATGGCTCCAAACTCAGTCGTAGTTACAATCGAGAAGCCTGACAGCTCTGAACTAAAGGTTAATGGCTTGGATTCATCTGTGTTTCTTGAGAAACAAAAGGCAGTGAGCACCAAGCAATTCACATGGTTTCTTCTTCTCAAAGTTAATAGAATATTTGCTTGCCTTTCATGGCTGCCAATGGCATTCAGGGCCATGTTTGTTTCACTTAAAAAACGCATTGCCTTATCTGACATGAGTGATGAAGAGCCCAAAAGCAGAGGAAGGTTGTATAGATTCATCAAAGCTTTTCTTGGTTTGTCAATTGTAGCTCTGGTCATTGAAGTCATTGCCCATTTCAAAAACTGGAATTTGAATCTGATTCAGCCTTGGGAGGTTCAGGGTGTGGTGCAGTGGTCCTATATGACCTGGTCGGCGTTCAGGGTTGACTATATTGCTCCTGTGGCTATAATTCTCTCTAAATTCTGCATTGTACTATTTCTGATTCAATCTCTTGATCGACTGGTTCTGTGTCTTGGATGTTTCTGGATCAAATACAAGAAGATAAAGCCCACAGTAGCAGCAGATGCATATGACATTGAAGATTCTTCTACTGTCCCAATGGTCCTTCTACAGATCCCCATGTGCAATGAGAGAGAGGTAACAGAGCAAACTAGCTCACTAAATTTACTTCTTTTCGCCGTCTCTTTCTCTGTCTGTTGCCAATTGACTTTTGCTTATCCCTACATTTACCTTTCTGGGGATTGCTTTAAATTTTCTTAGCTTCATGGGGTTCTGTTGTAATATTACCTTCTTATCATGTAGGTGTACGAGCAAGCAATTGAATCTGCTTGTAAGATGGATTGGCCAAGAGACAGACTTTTAATTCAAGTTTTAGATGACTCGGATGATAGGAATTTACAGCTTTTAATCAAAGACGAAGTCTCAACATGGAACCAGAAAGGTGTCAACATAATCTACAGACATCGGTTGATCAGAACTGGTTACAAAGCAGGCAACCTTAAATCAGCCATGGGTTGTGATTATGTCAAAGACTATGAGTTTGTGGCAATATTTGATGCTGATTTCCAGCCCAACCCTGATTTCCTTAAGCTGACCATTCCTCATTTCAAGGTGATTATTATATATATTCAATCAAAGATGCAAACTTTCTTAATTAATCTTTGTAATGACCTGAGACTAACGATCCTGCGGTTCGTCACAGGGAAATCCTGAATTGGGACTTGTCCAGGCTCGCTGGTCCTTTGTGAACAAGGATGAGAACTTACTTACAAGGCTCCAAAACATCAACTTGTGCTTCCATTTTGAAGTGGAACAGCAAGTCAATGGTGCCTTCCTCAATTTCTTCGGATTTAATGGAACTGCAGGAGTTTGGAGAATTAAGGCTTTGGAAGAATCAGGAGGCTGGCTAGAGAGAACAACAGTTGAGGATATGGACATTGCCGTTCGAGCACACTTGAATGGATGGAAATTTATCTTCCTTAATGATGTCAGAGTCCTTTGTGAATTACCTGAGTCTTATGAAACTTACAAGAAGCAACAGCACCGCTGGCATTCGGGTCCTATGCAGCTCTTCAGATTGTGTCTTCCTGCTATCTTAACTTCCAAGGTTTTCCCTTCATTAATGAACTTTCTTTGATTACTTCTAAAATTGTTAAATTATAAGTTTGTATGTTGTTTTTTTAACTTTTTGAAATTAAATTTGTGCAGATGTCAATGTGGAAGAAGAGCAACTTGATATTTCTTTTCTTTCTTTTGAGGAAGCTGATTCTTCCCTTTTACTCATTCACATTGTTCTGTATCATACTTCCATTGACCATGTTCTTGCCTGAGGCTGAACTGCCTCTTTGGGTAATTTGTTATATCCCCATTTTCATGTCCTTTCTAAACATTCTTCCATCCCTAAAATCTTTCCCTTTCTTGGTTCCATACCTACTGTTCGAGAACACAATGTCTGTCACAAAGTTCAATGCCATGGTTTCTGGGCTATTTCAGCTGGGAAGTTCTTATGAGTGGGTGGTGACGAAGAAGACTGGAAGATCATCTGAATCAGATTTGTTAGCCCTTGCTGAGAGGGAATCACTGTCTTCAAATGAAGAGAAGATCCTAAGGAGGAACTCTGAGTCTGGTTTGGAATTGTTAAGTAAACTCAAGGAACAAGAAGTAGCCCCCATCCCCAAGAAGAAGAAAAAAAATGGGATCTACAGGAAGGAGCTTGCGCTTGCTTTTCTGCTACTCACGGCATCAGCCAGAAGCTTCTTATCAGCACATGGAGTTCACTTCTATTTCTTGCTTTTCCAAGGGCTGTCATTTCTTGCTGTAGGGTTGGACTTGATAGGTGAGCAGATGGGCTAAAACCCTAAAACAAAACAAAAGTGCAATTTCCCCATAGTTATTTTTGACAGCCATGTTGAACCTTAAGGACAGATTTGCAGCTCTTGGTGTTCAAAGTTGAATTCTTTTACATGTAGAAACATTTCCCATTTGTTAGAAAGAAGGTCATGGGTAAGATATAAGAATTGAGTTAATTGTACAACGGTATATGTCTTCAGTGTATGAAGTAATGACAATCAGTATAAACAACTCAGCTATTTTTTCATTGTTATTTTTCTAATATGATGGTTCCTTCTCAATCTATCTCAAGCAGCACATCATATATGAACTCAGTACCATTATTAGCCTTTCACCAAAGGTAAAAACTAAAAAGACATACAAAACCCACATCAACACAACCAAGAAACAGAACAAACCAAACTTGTACTATAGATCACACAAAACTTGAAAGAGACTTAATTTGTTACATAAACCCCGGCACCGCACACTGGGATCGGATTTCATCAAACTTTTGTTGCTTAAATTATAAGCTACCAGTGAAGATGTTCATTCTGCAATGATTATATGTCATCAGCGTACAATATTGAGGATCCCATCCCAGTAAAGAAAAATCTTGTACTTTTACATTCCTCCATGTCACTACTGTGAATGGAACAATACCAAACAGTCAAATGACAGCCCTGGATAAAATATCACATGGTTTCTCAGTCATGTGTTAGCTGTTAGATGTAGACACAAGTGTAGGAAGGCACAAGCAATCAAGGAGAAAACAAAGGATGCTTTTGTCATACAGATGGAATCTGAATTAGGAAAATTAAGGCTATCATATGCAGACATGTTACATGTCTCTATCTAAATGAATGAGAGCATTTAACATGTTCAGAATTACCAAAAAAACCAACTAGTATTTTGTCTTGTGGTAGTTGTTAATTATATTTGGTTCAAAAATCTCAAGATCGATTCACATGAATACGAAAATTATATATATTTGTGATAATTCCATATTTAGTTGTGGCAAACCCCATTGCAGTGTCGAATAAAGGACATTAGTGGTTGAAAATTATCTTTGTAAGTTAGTCAAAATAAAATTATCAAAGAAAAAAAAAAGGAAAATAGAATGATTGGGCCGTAAGAGTCAGGCCTAGGTGCCACAGCTCTGGCTGGGACTCATTTTTTGTGTGCCAAACGGGCTGGCTCACGGGTAAGGTTATGGTTGGCGGGCCAAATGCCCAACATATCGTAAGAAAAAGCACATTCTCTGGGATTCATTCCATCAGTCGACCTCATGCCAAGGGCCATTGATGGCAACGTGTAGCATTTGAGTAAATTCACTTTAGTCACAGACCACTGGGCACTCACTTGACCTGACGTTTCTCTCATTCGAATTTCAAATTTCAATAGCTACAAGGTAGGATCTTCAAGCTCCAGAGTCGCTATTTATATCCTTTTAAATACTAGGGTTTCATTGTCGTCATTTGCAGATACTAAAATTCGGTTTACTTTAACATTTTGGCTTTCCTTTTATATTTGCAGTGCTGGGTCTTGAAAGTTAGACACTGAAGCTTCAATGGCGGAAGAAGAGGGTGATGCTTTTTATGTGGTTCGGAAGGGGGATATCATTGGAGTATATAAAAACCTAAGGGATTGCCAAAACCAAGCCGGTTCTTCGGTAAATTTTTACCACCTTATTATCTATGTTATAACATTTGAGCTTGATTCTTCTCTGGTTTTGGCCCATTCTTGATCAATCTTTGGAGCACCAAGCTTAATTTTCTATTGGGTTTTCTTGATTGTGTTAGAATAACCGTTCCCTTTATTGTTCTTTTATCATTTTTCTCATGGACAATGTTAATACTGAAACTTAAGACTAATTTCTTATATGCAACTGAAATTTCTTCCTACATTGATTGGTTGTGGTGTACATTCTGAAAAAAGTTTGTGCTTTCTAGTGGTAGGCTACCTTCCCTAATTGCGAATCTCTAATTGTAGCTTTCGTGTCCACAAACGTTAAGAGTAAAATTAGCTTCCATTAGGTTGTATATGTGCCCATCTGTTGCTCGCTCATTGGGAACGAGGGGTTTTTTGCTTCTATTTTCGTGCTACTGGAAAATGCTTCAGAATATTTATGAGGTTTGTTTTCTTTTTAGGTATGCAATCCTTCTATAAGTGTGTTCAAAGGCCACGGTTTGCCTAGGGAGGCTGAGGAGTACCTTGTCTCGCATGGGCTTAAGAATGCTTCTTATACTATCCGTGCCAATGATGTGAAAGATGATCTTTTTGGAATACTTGCTGCTTGCCCTTACCTGGTTTGTTGATGTCATGTTTTAAAAAGGCTCATGAAAATAGTTTTTGTATCATAGACGATCTTATATTTAGTTACTGATTGTCTAATTGTGCATGTTTATAAACTTTCAGCAGCCCGATTCTTCTATAGTAGAATCAGCTGTCAATGACTCAGCACCAAATAGATTTCAGGAGATGGCTGGGTCTACTTCATTCCCAACCTCTCAGACTCAGAGAAGGCATTTCAAATCCGATGATCATATTGAAACTCTATCTGTTTCTTATAGTGGTGTAAGTTTCTGTTTCTCACAACCACTGATATATAACGTGCATAATATATTTGATTACTGATTGTCTAATTGTGCATGTTCATACATTCCGGCAGCCAGATTCTTCTACAGTAGAATCAGCTGTCAAGGACTACTCTCCACCAAAGAGATTGCAGGGTATGGTTGGGACTACTTCATTCCCAACCTCTCAGAGGAAGCATTTCAAATCTGATAATCCTATTGAAACTCTAGCAGCTCCTTCTAGTGGTGTAAGTTTCTAGTTCTCACAACCACTGATATGTTATGTTACGTCTATCTATCCGTCTAATCTCATTGTTATGGGTATGTGAAGTAAAGTTACATATTTATGCCTGATCTATGTCTTTTTCCAGCATTCCTGTATACTTGAGTTCGATGGTGCTTCAAAAGGAAATCCTGGACAATCTGGTGCAGGAGCTGTGCTACGAGCTGAAGATGGAAGCGCTGTATGCAGTTCATTGAGATAATTGTGGTTCTTTTAGGGCATATTTTCTTGTCAAATGTAGCTGTTAACCGTTCATTTATAACATGGGGTTTTATAGGTCTACCGGTTACGTGAAGGGGTGGGCATTGCAACAAATAACGTTGCTGAATATCGAGCTGTAATTTTGGGATTGAAATATGCTCTTGAAAAAGGATTTGAACACATTCGTGTTAAAGGAGACTCTAAACTTGTCTGCATGCAGGTTCGTATATGTTACGGCACTTGAGTTTTTGCAGTCTTTCCCTTTCCCTTCCTTTTGTTACCTGTATCCTTGAAAATTCATTTCATTTTTTTTATTTTTTATTAAGTCTTACAAGCTCTATGATGTAACAGATTCAGGGTCTCTGGAAAACCAAAAATGAGAATATGGCTGAGCTGTGCCAAGTGGCCAGGGAGCTCAAGGAAAAGTTTACGTCATTTGATATCAATCATGTTCTTAGGGTATGTACAGTTGTGTTTTGGAAGAAATTTTTGTATGTAATAATTGTATAATAAATCTTCAAGACTCCAAGAACTTAATTTGATGAGAGTATGAGAATGGATAAAAAATTGAACTCTGTTTGATTCTGTTAATTGGACAACGGTAATTTTATCAAAATCTGCTACGGTGGCCCCAGAATGAGATGATCTGCTATTGCTGCAGGATTACAATTCTGACGCTGATGTTCAAGCAAACCGAGCAATAAATCTTCAAGGTCAGTGCCAGCTCTGTTGAATTCTTGTGATTTTCATAGTCTATACTTGGTTTTCCATTTATGAGAATTGCATGGATCTTATGCTTGAACAGATGGACATATTGAAGTGGATTGGAACGGGAAGTAAGCTCAAATGATGGGAAGGGAGACATTGTTTTGTAGGCTGAGAGAATTGGAACCAAACATATGCTTTCAGATTCTGTTGTTTAAGATGTATTGAAATGCACTGCTTTTGAACTTCTAATGGAGCAAGAGCTCCTTAATATGTACATCCCAATTCCTAATTTTCAACTCTGGTCTGTGTTAAATTCTCAGTGATCATTTTGAAACCCAAACTTTGTAATTTCCAGCTGTTAAAATTGGTTTAGAGAATCTGCATTCAGACTAAGTTGCTTGTTAATTTACACATGTAATAATGGTTGATGAGAAGAAGAAAATCAAATGGACGGCTCTGATTAATTTCAAAACTTGAAAGACAAATATGGCTCTGTAAATGGATAGGGAGCAAAAGGCCCAAAAGGCCCAGTTTAATGCGCTTTGCATCATCTCTCACAAACTAACTACACCTGTTCTTCTCAGACCAGTGGCTGGATATTGCTTTGGTGGGAGACAGAGAAGTCAGAAAGATTGAAAGATAAAACTCACCCAAAACAAATGGCTGCGGTTTCAGTCTCAGCATTCTCACCTCTGGCATCGCTCCGTACACCCAATCGTTCCCATTCCCTTGCAATTCCCATTCCTTCTCCAACACTTTCGTTCCGAAACGTTTCCACCTCTTTCCAGCGTTTAACGCACAAGGACCAGAGGTCCCGTATACCCACAATTATAAGGGCAGTCGAAGAGGAAACCCTAATTCCAGTTGAAGGAGAAGAGCAAAAACAAGAAGAACCAGCGAGCAGCGAGCAACAGGAACAGCCCGTTTCGGTCCCCGTTTCGCCCTCCGACACTCTAACCATGCTCTTTCAGGTACCCAGCTACCAATTTTGCCCAAGTTTGCAACTTTGTGTTTAAATTCCGTATCTTTACGTTTTCTGGAGTCCATGTTATTCATGCGCTGCAAATTTCCATGAAATTGTTGTTCTTTTTTTATTTATGAAATTTAGCAATTTATGCATATGCTTCTTTGTTTTCTGATTATGAGGAAATTTGTTAATGACAAGTTTTTAGCTTTAGTATTAAATGTGACATTTCTGTTGCATAATATTTCAAGGCAGATGGAACAATGAGTGACGCCGCTATCCCTTCAGTAACCAAAGCCTTAGAGGTACATTTTTATTTTTAGATATGTGGATGTTGAAATTGTGAATCAATGTTGGATTGGTGTTCATAATTTGTTGCTCATTCATGCATTCTGTCACAGGAAACTCAAGGTATTACCAACTTGAAAGTTGAAGTTGTCGAGGGTATTGCAACTGTTGAGGTGCGTATAAAAGAAACTTTCTTAACTGGGTAGTAACAAATAGCAAAATATATGTAATCCATTAGAAGTAAAGTTTATCAGCTGCTGAATGCTTCATCTTACTCAATTTGCCACCTACTTTGCTTTGTTCACAACTTATGTTTTTGGATGTTGCTTGATTTTACTTATTTTCCTATGTGCTTTGATCGCATCTTATCGCTTTTGGGTGTTTTTGATTCTGTGAGATACATTTAGGTTGTTATGTGAAGCATTTTTTGTTTGTTTTTCCAGTTGACAAAACAAACAACAGTACAAGCTACTGGGGTGGCTTCCAGTTTGGTTGAGACCATACAGAGTTCAGGATTCAAGCTACAAACATTGAATTTGAGCTTTGACGAAGAAGAGGAAATTGCTGTATAGAGCTTGTGTGCTGGTCTAGGATAAACGAAAGTGGAGAGGAAAAAGGCTGAGAAATATAATGTTGAAGCTCTGTTTCCTTGGATTCATCATTCATGGTTTGTATTTTGTAGTTATATAGGCTGCCTCTACCAAGTTTTGATGAAGTTGAACTTTAGACAGACGTAGTGGATAAACAATTTTACTGTCCTCGTTGAGATGGTTTTTGTGAGGTGGTTGTACTTCTACTATGTAAATTTGCATATTGCTAGTTCTGTTTTATACCTACTCATCTTATTAGCAGCGCCATGACTTAGATGCCACTAGGTCAAGCTCAGATGGATTTTTTTAACTCCAGTTCCGGCCCTTGTGTATGACCTGGTTAGGTTTTTCTAATTAGATCAAGCAGCCTGGCCAGATATTGCTGGCCTAGGCCCACCCGTTATAAAAAAAAATATACACGTGTCTTATATCTCACCGACTTTTGGTAGAGAAATTATATAGTGAGGGTGTGATATATGGATTCCTTATAGGGATCTTTATATTAGCTACATGATCATTTCATTAAGGATAATGCTTTCCTCCTTGCCCATAAGGAGAAACTCCTCCTTACCTACTGATGTGATGTGGTTTAGTTATAATTTGACACGTGTCTCTCACATAATGAATCACGTGACTAATATAAAGATTCGTATTTATGATATATATATGGTACTCTCATCGTAAAATGACTCACCTTAAGATGAGATATAATACACATGTGTATATTTTTGTTATTTTAATACAAGCGAAAGTTGTCTAAATTGATCTAAGAAGAGGGAGATTTGAATTTATGTACAAGGAGGTGGACTCAGATCTGACCGACCGATATGTTGTGTGTAGATGTTAACATGATTAGCTAAGTTTGGTCTGTGAAAGAAAGTAACCACACGGACGACTTGCTGTTATCCACTTGTTTCTGACCCATGACTCTTTATAAGTTTGGTGTGTGAAAGAAAGTAACCACACGGACGACTTGCTGTTATCCTTTTCTTTCTGACCCATGACCCGTATAATAAGCATGGGGAGAGAGAGCCTAGCAGGCTTTACTGAGAAGAGTCTGATAGAGACTGGCCCAATGACCTAAAATATGATCCGTACTTATTTGTATATTTCTGTTTATATGGGGCCTAAAGCCTAGTCTGTGCTGCAGTAGAGTTATCATATCATTGCCCCAATGGCACCGAGACGTGATGGGTCTTTTGGCGCTTCTCCATGGACTGGTGAAGAAGTAGGTGAGAAGCAAGCTACCGATGTGATTCTGATTCTGAAATCTGAAAGGTTGAATGAATTTGCTTAGATAAAATCCAACGGCAGAGGATTAACAGTAATCCACCCACTCTGTCAATAATGATTTTTGGGAAGTGTGATATAAAGCTATTCCCTTTGCAAAATGAAAAGGGAAAAGTAAATTGTCCCTACTTAATTTAACTGGGGCATGTCTCACTTTTACTGTACTCAAATTCGAATCGGACTGGACTCTAGTGTTTTTGTTCAAAGCACGGGGCCTTTGCTTCACTTGTGCCAGTTCATATATGCACCCACCTCAAAACCCAATTTCGATAAATTTGTATTTATTTGTATGTGCATGTATATTATCGGCAATTTAGATAGCACATATCACATTGTTATTAACAAGAATATAGAAATTTCTACTTATTATTATAATAAGAAGGAAAGTATTTTACACATATTTTTATTTTTATAGGCAGCTCGATTAGCGCATATATTAAGATTAAGATGAGCTGAGGGCCCTAGCTGAAAAAGAAAGCCTGAAAACTGTGATTTTAATAGGATCTTTCTCTGACATATCCATACCAAACACGTTACTGTGAAATCATAGTGTTGCTCTCAAGTTTAGTTTTGGAGTGTTGTAAATTTGTTAATGCCTTTCAAATTACTTCTGAAATGAAACCCCTGGTACAGAGTTACATATATATATATATATATGGATCATATAGGGTTAGGTCCATCTAGGCATAGCATACTGATACAGCAGACATGTCATTGATACCACATGCATGCAGCAGCAGCTTCCTATATTTGAATAAGAATATGAGAAACAGAACCAGCAGTGTAAGTTCTTATGGAACCGACCAGTTGTAATCTATATAACTTCCTAGATTTGCTCAATCAATTGTACTCTCATAGATCTGTCAATTACATCGTTGGATCCTTCCCAGGAACCAGCTGTACATTACCGTATGAGTATTAATGTCAATACAAATAATCCCCAAGGATCCCAAAATAATGCCTTTCTTAATTTGGATCACTCATGTTTTGAGTAGACAAGTTCATGTGGAGGAGTGAAGAAATCTGCTTAGCAATTAACCCAGAACCCCATATCGTCTTTATATTTTAACACAAAAGAATTTAGGAAACAATCACAAAGAAGTAGTTACTCATATTATTGCTGGTATATCATCTTTATATTTTAACAAAAAAGAATCTAAGAGCATCTCCAAGAAAGATGTCAAATACCAAACATCAAATTTAAATTTGATGACTGATGTGGCAATTTGATATTTACACAGTTTTATACTCCACTTGATATGTCAAATAAATAATTATTATAACAGTCAAATCATTTAAGATAAAGAAAAAAAATAAAAAATAAATAAAATAAATAAAAGTTACAACCAATAGTCTTTAAAAAATAATAAAATATTCATTTGACATCTTACTTTTAGAATGTCAAAAATAACAGCTGAATCTCCAGCTTTCATTCCACATCAGCTTTGACAATTCTATTAGAGTGATGTAAGATGTTATTTCTAACCGTTAAATGTCTATATGACGTTTTTAACATATCGATTAAAGATACTCTAAGAAACAATCATAAAAACTATATAATTAATTAATTAAGAGTAGTTACTCATATTATCACGTAAAAAGGATCAAACAGATAGGGAAGCAATTAATGAAATTTACGAGAGGAAACGTAGCTTTGGCTACAAGCTAATATTTTATGAGACAGACCTCGTGCGGAGGAAATTAATTTATTGTGATGGGGTGGAGGTGACACGGAGTGTGATGAGATGAGTGAGAAAGAGTGAAATAGATAGAAGATAATAATAGTTTAGTGGACGCTCTCATAGGGGCAGGTGGGTCGAAGTCTCAGGACAGATTTTTGGACACCAAGGCATAACTTATGTCTCACCGATCTGCTCATTTCATCAAAAGCAGCTGGCATGCATATCGGCAGCTTGTAGAAATATCTCTTTTTGGTCCTTTTTCAACACTATTTATACCACATCCCTGCTTCTGCTACAAATCGTCTGTGTCTTTTCCTTCTTAGCTCGTCAGGCTTGACATTTCCAGCTGTTCCGCAATGGCTGCTTCCAAAGCCATTCTCCTACTACTTGCTGCTCTTCTCTTTGTTACTACAAGGGTAATTATTATTTCCATTCCAATTTATAAGCATTTTTTATTGTTTAGTTTCCCATATCTTGGGTGTGTCTAAATTGGTTTGAAATCCCTTTTTTTTTTTATTTTTTTTTAAGGCTTCTTCTTCATCACTTGAGCACCATGAAGAACTGAAGTTAAAGGTACTATTTTTTTTTTTTAACTTAAAACAGTGTGGTAAAGTTGAGTTTATATCTGGAAGTAACAAAAAGCTTTAATCTTGACAGTGTTTTTGACCTTCAATGTGGTAAACTTAATTAATTTCAGGCTGCTTATTCCAAAGTCTTAGTACTTGCACCAGCTCCTTCTAAGCTTCCAATAGTCAAGGCATCGGCTCCACCACCCCTGGTCAAGGCTCCAGCACCAGCTGTTCCGAGGATCAGGCCGCCCACTCTACCACCGGTTCCGGTGATCAAGCCGCCCACTCTGCCACCAGCTCCGGTGATCAGGCCGCCCACCCTACCACCAGCTCCGGTGATCAGGCCGCCCACCCTACCACCAGTTCCGGTGATCAAGCCGCCCACTCTACCACCAGCTCCAGTTGTCAAGCCACCCACTCCACCAACTCCTGTCAGTCCTCTGACCCCAGCGAAGCCACCCACTTACCCACCACTGCCCCCAGTTAAATCCAAAGAGGGTAAATATTTTCTCACCACCGTACCATAGAGAAGTGAATTTTTCATGCCTTTTCATGCAGTAAAAAAATGCTAATCTTGATTATTTTTTCATGGTGTTTCTGCTAACTACTTAATTTGGTTTTTTTGTGAATAATTGTGTGATGGGGCAGATTGCATCCCTTTGTGTGACAAGAGGTGCCAATTGCATTCAAGGAAGAGAGTCTGCATGAGAGCTTGCATGACATGCTGTGACCGCTGCAGATGTGTTCCTCCCGGAACTTTTGGCAACCGGGAAAGATGTGGCAAGTGCTACACTGATATGGTCACCCATGGGAACAGAAGCAAGTGCCCTTGAAAACAAATCACAGCTTTCTCTCGCTCTGTTATTTTGAATTTTAAGCCTGCCATGTTTGCTTAAGACTGTATGAGAGAGGAGAAGCGAGAAAATAATTGTTTTCCAGTGTCCTTTCTAGTTTCTTTCTACTGCATCCTGCATCTATTGAATGTGAATGGGCAATTACTAGTACTAGTATGTATAATGTATGGCCTCGGCTCTTTGATTCAAATTTTCAATGTCGTGTAGCAGATGTTAATTAATATATATATATTATTGTACTTTTTGGCCCTTGTTGGGTACAACATTTATCGTGCCTGCTTTCTTTAACAGCTTTATCGTTGACGTTTTCACATTCTAGACTTGAAAACGTCGAACCAATAATGTGTCTTTTGCTATAACAAAGGATTTTTATGAAACGGGTATATCATTATTTTGATATTCCCGATTAACAATCCCATGACACGAACATCATAGTTGGTTCTCTAGTTCTCCTTCATATGTGATTCCCCTAAACTTTGGTTCTCCAATTTTCCTTCATATGTGAATGTGAATGTGATGTGTAAATTTTCTTCTTGGTGCTCAGCTCAGTCTTGAAGAAATCCCACGGGGTTTTCCTTGTAATTTGGTTATTGGCTTTAAAAATAAAAAATAAAAAATCTTAAATGCCAAAGTGAGGAGAATCCAAGGGCTTGAAGATGTGGGCCTCAAGGCATAGCCTAGTAGCATTGCTACCTAATAATATTAATAGGTGGGCCCTAACATTTCCTTCATGCAGGGTGGGCCTTTTCGCCTGTGTTAATAGCCGAGTACCTACCAAAACAAAAATGGATGGATCTTTCTTTCTAGGTCCATATATTTTCATTTTCATTTTCTTTTTATAATAACTTTAATTGTATTTTATTTAAAGAAATTTTGACTAAGGTTCGTTGCAAGGCATGTGTTCCCACATGCATTTATAAGATGATGAGGAACAGTATCAGTGGTATGCTTAGGGAAATAGTGGTGTTCTAAGCGTGTAAAAATCTCTCTCTCCGCCCTTTTAACACTATTTATACCCCATCCTAGTTCTCCTACAAACACCATCTGCCTTCCGATAGCTCTTACACTTTTCTACTGCATTAATTCCTCTTGATATTCCACCTGCTGCTTACAATCAATGGCTCTCAAAGCGTTCCTCCTCCTCTTCGTCACCATTCTCCTAGTTACTACAATGGTAATTAGTTAATTATATACTGATAATTTGATTCTTCGTCGTCCTAGTAAATAGGCGAGAAAATAAAATTTGTTTCTTCCTCCTTGCAAAAATAAAGCTGCATATTTACTTGTGTTAGGTGCTTTTGTAATTTTAATTTTCCTCTCGTTTGAACGACATTCTTGTTTTTTAAGGTTTCTTCCCAAGACGATCCCGAAGAAGAACTCAAGGCAAAGAGTAGAATTAGAGTAAGTACATTGATTTATACACTTATTTAGTATCAGGACAGTGCTACCTGTTTAATTATTATACAGCTTTGTACATTAAGAGAAATTATTGAGAGAAAATTTAACATTTAATCTGGTTTCAGCCAACGACGCCAAAAGCAAAGACACCACCCAAAGCCAGGTCACCACCAGCACCAAAAGGTGGCAAGGGAGGCAAGACCAAGCCATTCCCCAAGTGGCCGCCTTCACCGGCAGTGGACAAGCCTTATCCTCCATTTGACGAGCATAACGACGATGAGCTAACTCCACCACTTCCAGTAGCTAATAAGCTAAAGGTACACAATTTTATATAGTTTTTTTTAAAAAAAATAAAAAAGTTTTAAGACAGTAATGATCATTTATCGTATGCTTAAGTTTTGATATTCTGGTTTCAGGTGGGCGGTATGGTGAACCCGTAGCCTCGTCAATTGGGAATTGAGCAACGAATGTTAGCCAGAACCGAGTATAAGTATATGAGAAAGACAATAAAGTATATGTAATACTGTATATGTACTAAGACTCTTATTATAATTCAATAATATCTATCTATTTAATTGCTCAATCAAGCTTCCTTCATTAGACCAATTGACAGCACGAATCAAACTTACCGCGTACAACTTTGAAAATAAAAAATAAATGTTATACCAAGGCTGTAAAACATAGAACGAACCATGGTTATACTTAATGGAAAAGCTAAATACAAATAATGGTCATTTTAAATGTTAATTACGTCAGTAAATGAAAGAAGATGACTTTTTTTTTTGGTTCTAAAGGAGCCGAAGCTTAGAAATAAAACTACATTAACAAACTTCTGGGTCTAGTAGCCCCACTCAAATCTTTCAGTAGATAATGTCCAAACCCTGAAAAAAGCATTTGCACAACAATTTGAGAATTAAATTCAATATTAAGTGGGAACCATTCCTTGTGGCTCGCCAAAACAATTTCAAATTAAGAAGATGGCATTTTCGCTGCACCAATTCAGCCAAGTCAAAAAGGGCCCAATTTTTTTGGACTACATCCATTACTTAATTTCTTAAAAATTCTGTACTACAAAAGCGTCCTTCAACTTCAAACACTCAAGTGAAAAATCAATATATGTATTCCTTCGGCAACCCAAAATCAATGGGACAGAATGAGTGACCCAATTCAAGTCCTTATAAAACCATTGTAAAATTTCTTAACTTTTTTTTTATGTACGTACGCAATTCTTCACGTGCTTACATTAGATGGCATGTGATACCACATGGAGTGCTTACGGATTGGAACCACAATACAATTAGCTTCCTCTTGCTGATCGATTAGATATGTAGTGTTCGTTGTTAAGTAGATTGTTGGATCCTTTCACTACTGACACTGCAAAATTGAAATAATCGCATTACTTAAGAAGGGCAAATCTCATAATTTGAATATCAATTAGATATGTAGTGTTCATTGTTAATTAGATTGTTGGATATCCTTTCACCAGCGTCATCTGCACTGCAAATTGATATAGTCGCATTACTTAATTTATAAGAAGCTCGTATCTCATAATTTGATTGTCGATTAACAATTTTAACTTCAAGAGACTTGTAACTCAAGCACATGTAATGTAAGATCATTTACCCGAAGTCTTTGTATACTTGATCTTTCTTCTTTCCAATATTGTATATATTAACTCCGTTTAGTTTGGTCCATGCGTGACTGCCTTTTTAGTTTGAGTCGAACAGTTCATGTGGGGGGGTCTGAACGATCAGAGTAACAAGTGAAGTAGAGGAGCCGCTCAGCCATATATTGACCCACAACCCCAAATTGTTTTAATATACTGTTAATACAAATGAGGCTAGCAAACCTAGGAACCTCAACACCCGGCTGAAGAGGAGGAAATGTAGCTCATTTGGCTCCAAGAGTTTTTCGATCGCGTGATCATTTCGAAGGATGTTCATTTATTGGTTACACATACTGTGATGGGAATAGAGATGATAGTGGAATGCATGGCCACAGTCGTCCTTGGGGAAGGAGGGTCGAACTCAGAAGTCAGATGTTGGACAGCAACCCATGACTTTTAGTTATGCTTATGTCCCTTGTTTATGAATCAGCTTGTAAAAATTTCTCTCTCCATTACCCTTCGGCATGCATGCACCGTGCATGTACGCTACATATATATATATATATATATATATATACACACTACTTGTTCTGCTAGCTAGAATGTTCATCTTACATCCGTAGCTAATATATCTACAATGGCTTTCAAAGCTATGCTTCTGCTTGCTACTATTCTCTTAGTTACTGCAAGGGTATAGAGTCTATGCCTCAAGTGTTGTCGACGGTTAGGTGTGTTTCAATTCACTGATACCAATCCTGTCTTTGTAGGTTTCCTCAGATGATCATCCAGAGAAAAACGCAAAGTTTTGGGGGGTATGATCCTTCTTTCCAATATTGTATATTAACTTGATATCACTTTGCACATCCTTCAACTATAGCTAGTGACTAAAATTTGAAAGCAGTACTGTTATCCCCTCTGGTATTATTGAAATTGAAGTTTTATACATGACAAGATACATACATACAGCCATTTCTTTGGGATCAATTTGATCTCTAGTGCTAATTTCCACGGATTTGAGATGCTCAATTATATATTGAACTCATGATCTATACAGCTATTTCCTTGGGAGGATTGGGATGATGAACCACCATTCAATATCCCAATCCCAATACCGACACAATCTCCACCACCGCCACGATCTCCACCACCGTCACCACCTCCAGCCAAAGCACCGGCTCCTGTGAAGGCACCGGCTCCAGTTCCACCTCCAGCGAAAGCACCTGCACCAGCTCCTGTGTACCCAGTTAGGTCCATTCAAATTGAATAAATCTACGCACTACTTATCTAATGCATGGCACCAAATTACAGCTAGCTTAACACTGAGGAGTAGCTAATTGAACTCAAGAATAGTAGCCAATTTACGCACTACTTAATTGTAGATACAATTATTTTTACCTTTAATTTTTGAATTATTGATAATGCATGCATGCTTATGCAGCCACCTTCGGCTCCGACTCGGAAAAAGGACGGCGATGATTCCTCTTTCCCAGGAGGAGGCGTTATCCCACCGTTCGTTCCCGTTCCACCGGTCTTCCCAACTGTACCGCCTGTTCCAATATCGGGCGGCGGAACCCGGAGCCCGAGCACAACTGGTCCCCCTCCCAACATCAAACCGTCACCCCCACCCGACACCAAAACTCCAAACAACTCCCGTCAATGCACGTGCGCTCCTCCAGTTCCAGTAGTGAAGAACCCTAACCCTAATACTCAGATCAAGGCCCCGCCTGCTCCACCCTCTCCCATCACGTCCCCATCCACTCCACCATCTCCTCCGCTGAAGGCCTCGCCTCCACCTCCACCTCCACCATCACCACTTCCCAAAAGGGCAACGCCGCCGCCTTCACCTCCGAAGAATAAGGCGCCACCACCTCCAAAGAAGAAGGCACCGCCTCCACCACCACCGTCGGACGAACAGGAGGGCGCACCGGAGGAGGCACCAGCTCCCTCGGCAAGACATCTGGGGAAAGCACCACCTCCAATACCTCTAGCGAAAGCACCGCTGCCGCCTCCACCTCCTAAGATTAAGGCGGCACCAGCTCCCTCCTCAAAACATTGTCCGAAACCTCTGGTGGACGCACCTGCTCCGAAACCTAATCTGGTACCCAAAGCACCCGCTCCGAGGCCTAATTGGGTGCCCAAAGTACCAGCTGCACAACCTCCACAAAAAGGATCGGCTCGGAGACCTAATGGGGGACGGAGAGCACCTGCTCCAAAACCGGATCGGTTGCGAAAAGCACCCGCCCCAGAACCGCTCGTGAATGAACCGGCTCCGATATTGCTACGCTGACATGTTCTTGAAATTTTGGAATCAAGTTTTTTCCATTTTTCCTCTCGTGAGTTCATGTCACGTGAGCTGAACAAGTACGAGAGAGGCAAAAAAGAAAATAACAACAATAAAAGGCTTTTCTCTCGTTGTTAATTTTGTAATCCATCGTATCCTCCTATCTATGCATATCATAAAATAAAATGGGCAATTCAATAGACCCTTTTGACTCAGTATCCAATGATTTGGTGCTTCGTTTTAACAGAGAATATTCAGGCAAACATATAGTTAATATGGCGCCCAAGGATGTGCACGATTTTTAAAGTTGAAAGGATATGCATTTTGATTTGGATCCTCTCTCTTAACCTCATATGCAAAATATTGTTCGACATCCTTGATTTTTAGGGAATGAAAATCAATATGGGATTTTTTTTTTTTTTTTTTTTTTTGTGTGTGGAGGAGTAGGCTGCTTTTAATCATGAGCGCTTGCAAAAAGAAAAACAATCTTACAAGAGATGAAAACTCGAAAGCGAACACACTACAAGGGGAGGGGTGGTTTTTAAATCAAAATACTTTTTTACTATACTAGACCCTGTCAATAACAATATTTTATATATATAAAATATTTATATATAAAGTCAATTTCATAAAGATTGAAATCCACTACTACTTCTATATAAAATTAAATATAAATAACTCGGTATAAGTCCAATTCTTATGATAGAATTTGTGGGTAATCTATACACATATTGTAATAACCCAAACCTAAAATTAATATTTAATTATTAATTTATTTGAGAAAAAGACTAAAATACCCTTAGAATATTTTATTAGTTTAAAAGTTGACTTTTTGACCGGGAAGGAATTTGGGGATTTTAGTTGTACCGTTGCGTAGAGCGCGACGAAACGAGTTCGTAGACATGTAACGGGCTCAAATCGGAGTTGTAACGAAGGAGTTACGATCAAAAGAAGTTCAGTGGCATAACCGTAAATATTTCAAACTTCAGTTTATATAAACCCAGAAATTTCTGGGTTTCGCAGAGCTCGACCAGCCAGCTTCCCGGGGCGATTTCTCCCACCTCCGGTCACCGATTCAGGCAAGACCGGTCACGGTAG